ATATTGGATCATCTTCCAGCACCATGACGTGTGGAGTCAAAGCATTGAAGTTAACACACTGTAGTATGTTTTAAATGTAAATAACGTCATCGTCAGCGTATCTGATGAGCTCATATCTGCTGTAACCGTATTGTTGCAGGTTCTGGTTAGCGGTGCAGGATCTGAAGCGACGGCCGCTCCAGGACGTGTCCTCCAGGGCTCAGGAGATCTGGCAGGAGTTTCTGGCCGAAGGAGCGCCGAGCTCCATCAACCTGGACTCTCACAGCTACGAGCGCACCAGCCAGAACCTCAAAGACCCGGGACGATACAGCTACGAGGACGCTCAGGTGGACGGGGTTGTTTCTTTTCTTCCGGGCGGATTGACATGGCTTTTTTTTTTTTTTATGTTCACGCATGCATGAGCGCTCAGTCACACAAGTCTGAACAAACACCAGACGCATACAGTGTCAACACACCTGCGCCTGCACTCACAGACAGCGATGGCGCCATCTTTGTTTCTGCACAGGAAGTGACGTAGACGTTCCACAAACTCTCCTTTTACGCCCAACAGCTCTTTGCATGCTGTCTTCCTTTGATATAAGATTCATTTGAGTTCAGACGGGTTTGCCCTCCGCTGACAACACACACACTCCGGCCATTTATTTCCTTTCTCGTCCACTTACCCACAGGAACACTGAACCCTTCCACCCCACTCATGTTACACAAGTGAATGAATGACAGGGCGCGGAGGAATAAAAGGAGAGAGGAGAGAGGAAGAATGACGGAGTGTGTTTGTGCCAGGGCCTAATGAGGCAAGTAATGCCATGAATAGGCTGTTCGGTCGGGTCACCATGGATTCCTCTGGTTTCAAAGTGGCTTGGTGATGTGTGACGTGCAACGCCTCTCACTGGCAGGACATTACTCAGCTCAGTCTCGCAGGACTCTGCCGCTCATGTCAGCACGTCCGGTTGGCATCACCCCTCCACCTACAAATCACACATGCGTGCATTGCATCACCGTAATCATTCCTCGCTTTCTTTTCTCGCTTTAGCCACGCGAGGCGACGCACACTCATCTGTTTTTTCTTTGTCTTGCAGGAGCACATATTCAAGCTAATGAAAAGTGACAGCTATGCACGCTTTTTGCGATCCAACATCTACCAAGACCTCCTGTTAGCTAGAAAGAAGGTGAGCTGCACTCACTGACCCCGATTTTGCCCCCAACATTTAACACTGCGTGGTCACTCGTACTGCATCGCTCATGTTGGTTTGGTTCTTTTTTCTTTGGTTTTATCTTTTTAAACACATTCCAGGTTCATATTTACTGCGAACATACAGTCAAACGTTAAACACATGCAGCAAAGTACCGTAATGTTCAGACTTTTGAGCGCACATGAATATAAGCCACACCCACTGACTTTCCGCAGTGTTCAAAGCGTGTGGAAAAAGTAGCGGCTTATAGTCCAGGAATTACGGTAGTTAGCGACAGTAGTGGAATGTAGCTAAGGACGTTTAGTCAAGTTTTGAGGGAGTTCACTTCATGCTATTTTATACTTTTACAACATTTTGGTTGCAAAATTGACATAAAAATTAACCGACTGTACAAGCTACAATATTACAACATGATATGATCCAATCACAATGCGATATATGATACAAAATGTAATGATGCCATATGAAACAATACAATACCCTGTGATCCGAAATTAGACGATTATGATACGATACGATACAATTACAATACGATACAATTACGATATGATTACGAGACGATTCCGATATGATATGATAATGATACTATACAATTCCAATACAATACGATTACGATATATGATTACGATACAATACGATTATAGTATGATACGATACAATTACGATACGATACAATTTGATACAATACAAAGTGAAATGATACAACATGATACAATATAATATGGTGCAAAATTGATACAATACATGCAAAATGATACATTGTGATACAATATAATACAATGCGATATGACACAACACAATTCAATACAACTTTATGGTCAACTTACACTAAAATTCATTTTACATTTTCAGTTCAGTTCATCGGTAACCCTCCACCCCACCATGCTCATACTTACTGATCAAACAAATAACAGCATTGCGACATCTTTTCAATACAAAAATCTTAGTTGGCAACACACTGATGCTGATTAAGTAGCAGGACAAACTGATGTATAAAGGAGCTCTTCGACTTGATGCGTTTAAAATGAAAGAAAGATTATAAATCGCCTATTTAAGGGCAGAAGTTGGTACCCTAAGATTAAAGACCTCCTCCAGTTAAAATCTAGTTTTTTACCAAGAGGGCATGTTTTTAAGCTAGCTGTCATCAGAGAAATGAGTGTTTCCACTTTGAATCCGCAGTACTGATGACTAAAAACATACATTCAGTCACGGTTTTATACGAAACAAAAAAGTGCCATCACTCTTCATCAGAATCAGTTTCCTGTTACAGACTAATATGTGTGAATTATTTCCATTATATCACGTAGAGTATGTTTATGGTGTTTGAGTGGAGTCAAATTAGAGGAGACAACATCGTAGAGTTGCTTCTACGACATTTAATCAATGACTTTAAGACGTGTGTGATACTGTTAGCGAGTACATGTTGTGAAGCATCTGAGAAGAGTCGAGGCCGGTAATCCTTGAAGAAGTGCAGATTTGGTTTTACAGTTTGGCTTCACAGAGAAGCTGTTGCACTGCAATACAACATAACACTCTTAATCACTGATTTAAAAACAGAAGAGCAATCCGCCTGTTAGCTGTAAGACATCTGAGCCTGCAAAGACAGTAAATACTTAGTGATTAGTGATGTTCACACATTAATCCAATGCAGCAGTAATTATAGCCTCATGCAACAATTCACAAATGGACCACAGTGCATAATGAGTACTTTAGCCTTCGGTGCTATAGATATATTTCCAGGTGTTTTTGATCAACACTCTGAATGCAGGACTTTTCCGTCTGTGTATTCCTACGTTGCAGGATTGCTGCTTTTACTTCTTTCATATTGCATACATGCGGAAACGAAGCATCTCACATTTATAACTCACTAGGATGGGTCATTTTAATGTCATTTAGCAGCATTTTCTAACTCAGTGCGATACAGTATGTGAGCTTTGGAAGCAGCGTGACGCCACAAACAGAACCCCGAAAAGGCAAAAACCACTGTGACCAAAATGCAGGTGCAAGGGAGCTGCTAAATTATTTAAAATGCCAAAGGAACAGGCTTAAAAAATACATGACACACATACGGCAAACCCAGACAAACTGCTGCGTATAAAAAAAAAAGCGAATCTAACATACAGAACACAAACATAACAGACCGATTAAATAGCTGACGGATGCAAGAGTTCCTTTGTTTTGCTGTCCTGTCGACCTCCTGTAGGGTTCCACTGTCAGACCTGCATAGCTAAACACTCTTTTAGCCGTTTAACTGTGTAATATGGAGCTTTTCAGCGAATCACAGCTTCCTCTGTTCATGCTCTGCTCCTTCTGCTGGCCTGTCACTGACCCCACTCCATTTTCCTAAATTTGCAACCCACCCACCCACCCGCACTGTCCTCGGCCCTCATTTTTGCAATGCTTGGCCCCTTCTTTTCCTCACTAACGACATCACTTCCAACCTTCCCCCCCCCACCCCCCCCTCCTCCGTCAACACCCATACCTGACCCAAACACTCACCCTGCTTCCCCCCCCCCTCCCAAAACAGCAGCCAGCAGACACTGAACAGGGCCGCCGCACCTCCTTGGAGAAGTTCACCCGCAGTGTGGTAAGTCATTTGGAGCTGGGGCTGTTCATATCACAAACCACACTGGCTGGCTCACTATCAGTGGCTTTTTGCAATTTGTAACCATATTACACACTATTGTGGCCTTTTTTTAAAATAAAAAGCTGTAATAGGATGTGTATGTGTGGATGACGTAGCCTGCTAGTCACGTGAATGGTTGCAGCGTTCTAGCCGAGCACCTCCTTGTTGGTAGTGTTTCTGTGTGACACATCAACTATCTCTTGCTTTTAACATCTCAGTCCGGTAACGCCTCTTTTTTTTTTCTTATTTCGTTTGAATCGACCTTCTAGGGCAAGTCGTTGACGGGAAAGCGCCTGACAGGCCTGATGCAGTCCTGACACAGCCTGTGCTGGAGGTGCACAGCCAGACCCTGCCGCTCAGGGGCTGGGGACGGGGCACAGACATGGGAGCTGGGCCGCCGCCGTGGAGGCCCTCAGATGCTGCTCCGGGGACTGCTGCCATATTGGTAGCGCAGCACTGGGCCTGCCGGGGTCGACGCCCCCCCAAAAAAACACTGAAGAAAAAAAAAAAGACAATGCTGACAAAGGGGAACCTCGGCCAACACATCACATGGCATGCAGCATATAAGCACATCCGGTCTAGGGCTGCCCCCCCTTTCATTAATTCGGTGGCTAAACTGGTTGACGAAGCGAATCAGTTTTGTTTCCATGTTGTTTTATATATAAATATATATATGCGTTCCTTGGAAAGATATCGCAACAATAATCTTTGGTAAATTTAAAAGTTATTTGCGGCGTTGGTCCAAAAATAGCCGGAGCCGGTCCAAGCTCAGACAAAGTCAAAGGCACATCAACACTATTTTACATATGTCTCTGTACTCACAAGGCAGCCAGCAATAAATAAAGCGTGATACCACCTTTTTTTTTTTTCTTTTTTTAGAAATAAATCCAACCTCTTTTTATATCCTTGAAATTTCTATTCTATCTCTACCTTAACGAAGCACATGCCGGTTAAACAGTGAGCACAGTTTCGGCGGTAATCGAGAAGCCTGTCTCTCCCATACGTTCTATTTAATGATGTCTGAAATGGGTTTTTTTTTTTTTTTTTTGAAGGTATAATTTTTCATGCTTCATTACATTCCAAAAATCTGGCATAAGGGCTTAATGTAGCATCCACACTGCACCGTCGCATGTTTCATCCCAACGTCTTTGTCGAGGATTAATGTTTCGTTTCCACAACGGCGCTTTGTAATGAGACTCGCGGCAAAGACGAATTTATTTCTGTTGGCAAGTCGGTTCGCCCGCTTTCGCAACTTCCAGGCTTCGGGTTCCAAAATTTTACAGGCTGCACAGTCGAACCAATCAATTCTGGTGAATAACTGATGGTGAACCATCGTGATTGGAGGTTTTTACTTTAGTCACAGCTGTAGTGTGCACAGTGTGAAATAGCACCCACATGCTTTATACGGGCTCCCGCTGTAGTGTAGTGTTTAAAGTTTCCAGTGCCATGGGTCCATCTAGTGGTGGCTGCACCACAGGACCAGAGTGTTTCAAGACTGTATTCTTCACATCATACTGAAGGACATCATGATGTCAAAACTAGCTGTTCTCCGCTCATGGAGACATGACAAGGCCTGCTGCCCAACACGGGATCATTTATGTTTTGTTGCTTTTTGTTTTTTACTGCATGAATATTTCATCGTTTATTTACTCAGAACAATGAAACCTGCCCGACTTTTGTTTGGCAATCTGTGTTGCCGTGACTCTCCATCTAATAATCGTCCTGTGTTTTGATGACTATGTGGAAAATGGTGCATGTTGGACTATAAATGAAGTGAGAACCTGAAGATGGTTGGACTCTCCAGACAGGGAACAGCCCTGAAACTGGATCAACACTCCTCCTCGGCGAGTGGACGTCTCGGCTCCGGGATGCTACGGGGGACGCTGTTTGGCTCTGGATGTGGCGCCGCACACTGAACATTTAGGCCTCTTCAGCCTTCTTCTCCACACAGAAAGTGCTCGAACTGAGGAGTTTTCCGTCTCACAGCTCCCCCATGAGGCCAGTGACTGCTACAGCGACGGACTACGCTGCTGAACGAGTCGATCATCTATTGTTTGTTTTGTTTTTTTATTATTAGAGTCGTTGCGATGCACTGTACAGGTCATATTAATAATTATCATTACTATCATAAACCAGTAACCTCTTGAGTATAAGGTAGAGAAGAGAGATGCTTAACTCGAGTCGATGTACCAAATGTTATCCTCAGCACAAACGCAATGCCACTATGTACCGAGTGCATTGTACATGTAAATTGGCTACTTCATTATCCAAAAGCACACTTTATTATGATATGGGCACATTACTATGCATGTAACATATTCAGGGCATTTTGTGCTTTTAGTTTCTCAATCAGCAAGATAACTACTGGCACTCTAAAACACGCAAGCACCTGCTATATTCATGGGTACCAAATAATAAAAACTCTGGACCTGTCTGCTCCGTCTTCTTGGCTTCGTTTGATGTCTCGAGTCGTGAAACTAAAGAAATCAAATGTTTGTTTTGGCTGATATTTACCAGTGATGATGCCAAGCAGCACTTTTAATGCTGCAGATGTGGTGTTTATGAACATAACACCCAGGGAGGAAGTCGATAGGAGTCATAGGGCATCATTATTATCTAAGTAATAGACTGACCGACACTAGGGCTCATGATATAAGATGCTAACTGCACGATTATTATGGCCAAAAAAATTATTTTTATACCTGTTTTATTTTACCTTTATTTATTGAGTGTTTTGTCTCTTCTTTGGCAAATAA